GGTTCAAATGGTGGAGAGTACCATATTTAAGCCCTGTGGGAGTGTCCCCCCCAAGAGGGACAATGGACCCCTTATGATCCTTTACACAATCAGCCAATGTTTCAGGTGAGCTCATTGTGAAATGTAGCCCCACCCTTTCCTGAGGTCAAAAACCTTGGCTGATTGTGACCCACACCTGTTTTCACACCTTGGCTTCATGTGATTAGGCAGATTAGGGCTTAAATCTGGGAAGCTCCACCATTTGACTCTAAAAATTAAGAAGTTTCTCAAATGAGAGGTGAAACGTATTCAAGCAACTTAAAACTCCTTAGACTACAAAGACATGGATGACTGAGAACCTTCAGCATGATTTCCTATCTATAGGTACCTGTTTGTTTCTGCTGGAGGTAGTGTCCTAGCAGTCATCACGATGGGCATCTACAGCACCCTCCTGTTCACCTCCACACTTGCCTTTGTTCTACTCGTGTGCTGTTTGGATCACAGCTGTATCCACACCTGGGCATTTGTTATGCAGATGTTGTGGCAAACCTTCTGGCACCTTCTTATACAGTACAGGGAATACTACCTGCACGAACCAGTCAACATCAGGTATTAATCTTGATTTCACTCTGCTGTTACAAATTACATAAACATATGGGACCGTTTTCATGCTATATCCTCCTAACCTTTCGTAAGTGAATATTCTCTAGGGTGTACAGATGTATGAATCAAGCCTGTTCAGAGTTAGGATGTTGTATAAAATATAAATAAAGCAGCATGCAGTGATTTGTATGGTATTTCTATGGTATTTATTTAAAAAATTTATTTAAAACCTCTCTCTCTTCTATAACAAGTTACAGAAAGTTGGCACCTTTAAAAAGAATGAGGACCTGTGACCAGAGCAGTACATTTTTGGATACTTTAAGAAGGTGTAGTTCATGCTTAGCACATATTTAAAAATCAAGTATCCGTAAATATGTTTTTTTTACATAAGAAAGAACATATTTGCATCATGAAATTAGAAATATAACAATGTAGAACATAAAATCGTCATTTGAATTTAGTACCAAATCACAAAAGTGAGTTCTTTAAGTTGTAAGGCAATGACCCTACAGTATTAGAGAGAAAACCACAACAATCAGATGATACCCTATGGGCAAAGCACTTGGTGATGGTGGGAAGGAAAGCCTCCCTTTTAACAGGAAGAAGCCTCCAGGGAGGGACAGACATGTGCCACAACGGTTGGAAGATGAGGTGAAGCTCCTGAGCAATTTATCTTGCTCTTTCAATTATATAAGCTATGTTCTGATCTTTGATAGGATTAGAACACAGCACAGTCCCTTCAGTTTTCAAATGCGTACAGGGTTGTAAACACAGTGGCAAAAATGTTCCTAATCACACTTTTGTGAAATATGTCAAACTCAAAAC